AGACCTCATTTGTAGCTATGTTCTGCAGGGGTGCTGCCAAAATATTTCAGCTCAGAGTGGTCAGTGGCCCAATTTCATCTGCAAGAAGGCTTGCAGCACATAGTTGCCTTTGGCCACCAGAAGAACGTAGTTGTGATTCTTGGTATGGATGGAAGGTAAATATATTAAAAAATTGAGTAACTTGCTTTCTTTTTTTTTTTTTTTTGCTTCTATTTCCTTTGCATAATAGATCATTTCCGATAGGCAGTTCCCCTTTGATTCAATCATGCTGCCACTCATGTGTACATGTTTTTAACAATTCCCATTAGCTACGGTTGAAGTTTGTGATTGTTTGAGACAATGAACTATACAACTAGAGTATAGGAAGGGTCTCTGACAGTTTCATGGTGCTAAACTTATATTTAATTCAAAGAGTGGCTGCTTTTGGAACTTTCTCCTATCGTACTTGTATAGCAGGGTTGATATTTTAGGAAGAAGCAAACTAGTCTGTAGATCTAAATAAGTAAGCCATGGAGAAGTAGTGGGAAGCAGAACCGGAACAATAAAAGAAAATAAAGAAAACAAATTGAAATAAGTAATATGGTTAGCAACTGGTTAAGAGTCAGACTCTTATCGTGCATAACATTATCTTTTGGGCATGACAGGGCTCTGGATTTTTTTATCTTTTTTCCGTTTGTATTGTGATAGGTACTGAGAAATTTTGAGATATTATGCGTTGTCTATGATCCTAATCTATTTATTTATGTAGTGGTGTAGATACTTTGTCCCATGCATCATGTATGTGTGATTATGAGTTTACTTGATGGTCCAAATCTTTTTTTTTTGTTTTTCTTTTATACCTTGTATTCAGTTTGTGGTGTTGAAATTTTATAATGTAAATTGGGTTACTGATGCAGTTTCTATCGATGTGAATTCAACCCGGCGAATGGTGGAGAGATGACTCAGCTTGAATATTATAATTTCCTGAAACCAGAACAAACTTTCTAAATTGTGGTAAATACAAGATATCTGTATTTGGTGGTGATTCCTGTTAATATTTATGTTTCTTTATTATCTCTTTAATTTCTTTTAGGGAACTGATTTACAGTGTAAATATACGAGAAAAGTTGAATGGATAACGATCTTTCAATCACTATGCGAGCTGTATGTAAATTGCATGTACATAGGGAACGCGATAAGCAATATAACATCGCAAATTTCTGTGCATGTGCATATTGAATATTAGAAGAACAAGAAATTCCAGATATTTGGTTTGCTCGTTTGCACCTTGTGGAGAATGCGGTGGATTTACCCTTTTGTTTTAACTTTTGATTTTTACCGATCACTAACTACCGTACATTGCGTTTTTCCTTTAATTTTTCCCCAGCGACCTCTAAAATGGAAGAAACTGCTTTCATTCTTCGAGTATTTTGGTATTGCTTTCAATTTACTTTTGTACCTTTAAAACATTAGAGACGAGGGCGATGTGGAGCATACTGTTTTTATGTGATGTTGATGTCAATTTCTTAGGCTGGAATTTATTGGTATAGCCACTTATTGAAGATCCACGTAGACTTTATACATATACTTAGACAATTATTTTTAATATCATTATTAGGAGTTGTCTATACGCCCAGTTTGGAAATAGAGGATAAGTCCCTCCATCATAACCGGCTGAAAGTGTTTATGTAACTGGCTGAATGCCTAACGTAATTATCCTATATTGAGTTGAATGCCTAACGTAATTATCCTATATTGAGTCGAAACAGTTATTATTTTAAAAATTAAAAGTTTTTAAACATATATCAATAAATGACTGTTATGTACACATGTCATGAATACAAAAAATATTAAAAGGCACATTGATAAAAGGCTATCGTTTTTACTGTTAATATTAATCATTCCATCGCAATTAACTGTCGTTTTAAACTTGAATAATATTGTTGTAAAGAATTATTGTCATACGATCATATATGTACATTTGTTGTACATTTGTTTAGAACAGTATATGATAGTGTCTTGTTTGCCATACGCTTAAAAATGACTTTTGGTTCGCAAAATAATATGGTTACGGCTTAATAAAAAAAAAAATTACACTAATCATTTAACCTTTTACGTTAGGAAAAATTTCTCCAATAAAAATGGCGAGGGACCAAAAAAAAGCTTTATTATTATTGTTATCATTATTATTATTTGTGCAAAGAAGCTTCATCAAAAGGGCCAAAGGCCAGACGTAGACAATACTTTAGACCTTCAACAACGCTTGTCTTTTGGCATGAACTATGTTTGTTATACGCTGCTCGATTGGAAATTAAATTAACCTTTTCTTCTCTGTGCTTATTTGAGAGTCAAAACAAGAATTATATATTTGTATACCCAGCAGAAGGGTATGTATGAATATACAAATACGCCTTATATTCATTACATGAGATAATTATTGATGAGACAAAAGTAAGCTGTAAAACAAGACCCTAGCATACAAAAACCTGCTAACGGCTAATTTTGTTCCTCTAATTAAAAAAAAAAAAAAAAAGCGCTTTGAAAGTTTGGCTCATCACATATATGGATTGGACTCCTCCGGAATCACAGTCAAAGTGACCAATTTATCTTTAGGTCTTTTGACGACCACCTTCAAGGGTTCCCCAACTCTGTCACCCATTGTTTCAATTACC